TTAATTTTGAGCATATGCTTAAGTGCTTTTGGTGAATAGTACTGAACCACAGCATTCACCTCTTTGTAAAGGAGAGAATGCTTTCCAAAGCAACATTTACTTCTCAGGGCACGGTGTGTGTCTTTTAAATCCTCCTTTGATGTTTCTTGGTTGACTTTGTTTTTAAAAGCTCACCAGAAATCAGAAAGGATTAGTAGGTCATGATCCTGCAAGCTACCTGGTATGGATCAGCCCAGGAAAGGACAGAAATGGAGTTGAGCTGGCAAAGAAAAAATGTTTGCCTGGAGCAGTTTACAGGATCCAGTTTTCTGAGGCACAAATTAGTTAAAATCAGTTTGGTATTTCATTTTGTATTTATAATCATTATCATTCTAAGGCATATTTCAAATAAGGAAAGTAGAAAGCAGAATATAAGGTACTTAGCAGATCATAATAAGTAAAGATGATTATTAATGTGTATTAAACACCTTCACCTATTCCAGTGAAACCTCATACAACATAAGTAGTTTTGTCCACTCATCCTTAAAAGAAAAACTTTCCTGAACCAATGTATAATTACCACATTTTGTTTTTAAATGGGGGCTTGAATGAATGTTTATAAGAATATTGATTGCCATAGAGGTAGAGAAAGTCTTGAAAGTGAAATTAAAAAAAGATCTGGATTCCTATTTCCTCCAGAATTCAGTGCTCTAAATGTGGCATCTGAGCAAACACGAGCTCTTGACCTCAAATCTATATTCTTCTCCAAGGTTCGTCCACTCGGATAAGGAACGCTGTGTAGCGGTTAAATACAAAACAAACCTGAAATTGGTACCTTCTGAGGTTTGGTTCCGACCAACCTTTGAAACAAGATTGCTTTCAGTCAATTGGTTATTTCAGCACTTGACATCACCCCCACATAAAACAAGGCAAATGGCCAATTAGCTAACTGGAAGTTTTCCAGTTCAAAGTGGTGCCAAAATGCACGAAGATGAAGTGGAGTAGAAAAAAAAAGAAAAAAAGTTTAAATTGGCTGAACAGTCAGCTCTCTATGGGAAGCTGAAAATAGAAATCAGTTCGTGGAACTCAGGAGCTTCACTATCTTCTATTTGGGGAAGATCAAACTTCGGCATTTGCAAGTTAAACAGGGATCCCCAAGGCTTCTAGAGAGCACTTTATAAAAAGAGGTTTTATATAGGACCTGTGTATTTTGCAAATAAAACTGTAGCACATTAAATTCTAATCACATTCTATTCATAGCATCTGAAATCAGAGTATAAATTTGCTTCCTACGGATAATTATCTGGACTGGAGTTTTAATCTCATATGTATGCCATTACCCCTATACAAACACTGATAAATTTTGGCTTTCTCTCTTCAGCAGCATTCAGCTATTTTGACATTTTAAGTGGTTATAAGTTGGTTTTAAATAAAGACAGCCTAAAGAAATCAGATGATATGTTAAGCAGTAGTGCTGGAACTGAGAAAGAACAGAATACAACATTGCAGAATAACCTCTTTGCTTGGGAAATAATGCTCAGATTCCTGAAGGAAATGAACTTAACAACATCAGCTTCGTAAATATAATTTCAATAAAGGTTAAGGCCGCTTTACATACATCTATCAGGCCCCTCATACAAACTCTTAAGCTACATCAGAAATGAAGGCAAGTATTCTAAATGAGAAAAAAAAGCATCCTGCAGAAAATTTCCCATTATTATAAAATTTTAAGGAACAGCAATTTAGTCTTCTGTCCATGGCAAAACATGACCAGGACAGCACAGTTCTAGTTAGATATAACCAAGATTTACTTTGAAAGGGTTGAAGACAACAAGTTATGGGGGATTTTGTTTTGTTGAAAGGGTTGAAGACAACAAGTTATGGGGGATTTTGTTGGGTTTTTTTTCAGTCAGTCAGAGCTGTGGGGCCAGCTCAGGGCAGTGATCCAGGCAGGGCACAGGTATGTAGTGACACGTGAAACAGAGACGCCTTCTAAACAGTACTTTCTACTACAACTTGTATGAAACAGTCACAATCATCATGAAACAAAGATCACAAACCTTCTTTTGTGAAAGAGCAACCATATTCCTAACATAAATGTAAAAAGCAAAACCACTATGTCAATTTACTTAAATTGCCATCATCATCAAAAAATCAAAATAATAACCAACTTTATATATTACTACAATATTTTTCATTATGAAGCTAATACGAAATCTTGGCTATCAGGTGAATTTGCCAGTGTTTATTCTGACAAGCAAATTAGCCCTGCACTTAAAAGAAGCTGCCTGATCTGAAAGCCCTTTAGTTCCAGTGAAACCCAAACAGTGCTTTATGGAGTAGGTTTTTTTGGTAAATAGATGCCTAAGGATGCAGATAGATAGCACTAACAATTTGCAAATTCCTCAAAAGAGGACACTTCACACCGTTTTTCTAGCGACCTTGTACGTGTCCTTTAAAGCTTTTTTTTGTTTAAAGAAAAAAGTTATTCTGGTTAAAAAGAAGCCTTGTCTATTTTCATAGCTCCTTTTAAAGAACACTGTATCCAGAGAGGAGATCAAGAACTCATTGCAGGTTCTGGCACCCACAGCAGCTGGTTGTAAGGAAAAATACCTCCACGCTGCTGTTCATGAAAGAGATTCAATTTGACCCCAACGAATTTTAGAATCACAAAAGATAGGAAGTTGCATGAGTCCCATAATGCTTCCAATACATGTTTTAAAAGCCAGACACGAGGCACCTATTGGTATTCCCCACCTCACACAAGACTGACCTTAGCGAGGAGCTGAACTTGGACAGAGTTTTTAGCTGCGAAGCTGTGACTGAAATGATTAGTTACAACAGCTCTGCGCAGGCAGATCACTTCACCCCCGTGGATCTGTGTAAGATCAGGGCCCGAACACATTTCTCCCCTTCATCTGGCCTCAGCTGCAGGAAAAAACACGTTTCCCCCCCAGGCCCCCAGCCCGCTCCCCATGTCAATGGACATTAAGCATATGTCGCCTCGCTTTTGGAAAGCGTTGCATTATTTAACTTCATTACTGCTTGTTGAATGGCTTTCAACCTCTTCACCTTGCAAAAAAAAACTTTTTTAAGTGCATTAATATGGCAGATGCTTAAACTTTACCGTATGTGGACCAGCAGCGGGACGTCACTTAGGGAAGGAGAGGGGGCACAGGGTGGTGGCTCACCTGCCTCCCCCTACGCACCTCTCTGAGTAAATTCGTGGAGATCCTGAGTTTCCCCCTACAGAACAGTGTCTACTCCCTCTCTGCAGGTTGCTTAATCCTCCAGAATTCTCTCTGACCTTTCTGCTCAGCCCGGAGGAACTTGGGCCAGGGGGATGGCAAAGGCACCCCCGAAATCTCCATCCACAGCTGCTGCAGCACTTCAAAGGCAGCAGCCCCAGCCCAGGATTTAGAGGGCAGCTGGAATCCGAAGGCACGGGGTGCGGTCCCCAGGGCCCAGCAAAAAGAGCAAAGCTCATTTGTAAGGATTAAAAGGTGGACAGGTAATGGATCTAAATGGGGCAAGCCAGGGAAGGGGAAGGCAGGGAGAGTGGAAGTCAGTATACAATGCAGAAAATCTGAGGAGGTTAAGAGGGGCAGCAAAAGGAGGGGCTGGGGGCACAGAAGACAAGAGATTCCTGGTTAGCGTAAATAATATACACGTATGTTAGGGAGGAAGAATGACAGCAGCTTGGAAATGTAAACAAAAATATCTTCAGAGGAGGTAGGGCTTTCACATTAGAAAATGGTGAAAAGATCAATGGGACTAAAGCACAAAAGGACGTATAAGTCAAAGACAGCTAGAAAAACAGGCACTGAGAAGAAAAGATTGTGATGAGATGGAGACAAAATCCATCTGTAAAACAGCTTCTCCTGGAACCAGTATCACAGCCTTCATGCTGCAGGATTGCCCCAAACGTAGAAGCAAAAGGTTTTTATTATTCAAGATAATAATAAGCTTTGCGTATCAAGTTATGAAAAAAACATTTTCTTCTGAAAAGGAAGATTACAGAGTTTTTTAAAAGAAAAGCACTGCTTGGTTTTTAAGACCATGCTACATGTCACTTGGGAAGCAGGAATGTGGAGTTGACTCACACAGACTAGAGAAAGGTGGCTCCAGCTTCCAGCTGAGCCGGGTTCTGCTCAGCTCCTCAGAGAGGGGACAGTTCTTGTGAATATTTCAACCTATGGGCAGAGTTCAGGACAGAAACACACCAAGAAATCTGAGGGCTTTGGAGGACACAAACTTGTAAATTCATTAGCTACTTCAGAAAAAAACTCCTTGAAGAGAAGTTCTCACCTGGTGGTAGTGGAAGATAGCTCACCTTCTGGTTGCATGTAATGGTAAGCTGCCACTCTGCAGTGGGACCCGAACTCCACAGGACAGGAACAAGAACACAAGATTGTAACCCTACAATAAATAACTTACTGCAAATCCACACCTATCTTAGTGTAGTATAATTTCTCAGTACCTCAGCTTGTTTCTTAGAATTTCCCACATTTGAATGATAAAACATTAACAATACTAAGTCATCATCATGTGGTTATAAAACCATGTGTCAAGCTGTGTGTTGAATGGTTTAAAAATGAACATAGCTTTGCAATGAACTTGGAATATACCAAAACAATAACAAATAGCATATTTTTGCCATCTGCAATCTTTTTTTAAACATAGTTAAAATAGTTTAACTATTTTATTAAACTATTAGTAGTTCCAACTATGAAGCACTTGCTTGAACAGGTTAATAGGAACACTCACTTGAAGGACATTAACATTTTCACTTGTGATATACAACCTTCCTTCACTCAGGCTCATTAATTTTCTAAATCTCCAAATATATTACTGTACTTTGTAAGAAAACACATTCTGGAGTTCAAACAGGAAGATTTCTAGTCTGGAATCAAGTTGGCTTATTTTATTTTTTTTTTTCCTTTCCTTAGCTTTCTATTCCGATGTGCCAGCAGAGAACTGCATGTCTAAAAGAGACTGCTAGAAAAGAAACAGGAGAAATGTGACGATCACAGAGCAGAGAGCTCTTTATTTGTCATTTACTAGAAGGAAAAGAGCACCAGGCCAAAAGTCATTCAGTTAGTTATTAAAAATGACTGATCCTAATTGATCTATCAACAGTTTCTAATGCATGCTGAATATATCACTCAACATTTACAGCCCAAACTGTTGACTGAGGTTCATCCATATTCATGAAGACATATGAGCGTATCTACCACTGCAAAAAGAAATGCTGATGTGGTAATAAAAATACACAAAAACACTAGCATTTTTCAGAGCATCCACGGAGACAACTTGAGACTTCAGAAAAGTAACTATTTTTATATTACAGCTTTATTTCAAGTACTGTTTCTTATTGGATACAATTTATACTTTTTGCTCTATGTATATATATTAATGGAATGTTTTCCAAATTATCCCTAGATAAAATATATTATGTGCTTAAAACTATTCCAGCAATAGCTTTTCCAAGTTACATTTTGCTGACTGTTAGTTCAGATCACAGGAGAAAAACAGAGAAAAAAAAATCTGAAAAACGCTTTGGCAAAAACCGTTTCATGGTGATGTCTTCAAAAGTATTTTGAATGCGGGACTTCTTCATCCATTTTTATTCCAGTACCAGTCAAATATATAGGAGGAAACATATAAACACAGTTATACTGCTTTATTTAAATATAATTTAAAAGAATATAGATCTTATTTTTTCAAGATGTGTAGTCTCACGTTTGAATGTCGGGCAGCCAAAAAACTGCCAGCTGCTTCTCAACGTACAACGGTGCAACACGTTTCTGAAACCTCTAATTGCATTGTTGTGATGGTCACTGTTAAAACAAAGTTCCTGGTAATCCCAGATCCTGTGTCGAGGCAGGAGGACCACCAAAGGTATCGAACCAGAGAAGTCACTGAACTGCACACATTGAGCTTCTGGGAGGATTCACGGTTCTTGTCACAGGCTCCTGACTGTAGTTGACAATGTCTGCCTTCACCACCCTCTGTCATAAAAGAAAACACATTAACAATCAGAAAATGCAATCTTCATGCTGGCAAAGCATTCAACAAATATTTTACTATGAAACAGGCAAATAGGCAAAACAGACATTGTTTAGGGTTTTTTTTTTCCATTACCTTATAGAAAGTCTTATCAGGTGCTAATTCTCACTCTAAATACCAGTTTATCTGTACCAAGCAGAAGGCAGTGCCTTCTTGAAGGCAAAATCTTGTAGGTTTTCACCACACTATAAATGGAACATGCCTTTTTTTCCAAAAGCAATGAATAAAGTTTTACTTATATGAAAATTGTTTTGTATGGAAATAATAAAACAATATTAGTTTATAAAGACTATGGTATGCATTCTTTAAGAATAACTGCCTAAATTGTAATAGGAAATTGTACATAAATTTGTCTTTCCGACTTTTCTCCAAGCACTTCATAGGAAAATATGGACAGAATACAAAGCAAGTTTCTACAACCACATTTGAAAGAAGCTTTGCTAGGCAGACTGACTAAAGACTAAATTAACAGAAAAAGAAACTCTGCATCCCACAAATATTTATTTTCTAATACAAGTTCAACAGATATTACCCATTCTATTTACAAAGCATTTGATAAGACTGTTGGTCACTCCTATGCGAGGAGAAGGAAATGAGATCCCAATTTTACGCCCATTTCTGAGGCAGCTATGTAATGTTTTGAATATACAGCACTGGAGGACCTTCATAACACGGAAACATGAAGTACTTCAAAGTTTCTATGAACTTTATATGGTTATTAGAAACACCATATAATTGTACACATAGTTCCAAACTAATATGTTAAGTATTACATGTGCTTACAGATTAAAAAAATATATATTTTTCCCATAGAGGTTACTGCAACAGTTGCTACTTCATGTAAAAGCAACGAAGCTTGAAAAAAAAAAAAAAGCAACCAAACCCAAGTTTTCCATCAATACCTGAACTACTGCATTGAGCAGACTTTGCTCTGGCAGTTGGAAGTGTTGTGATGTTGGTTATCTTCTTCAGGATATTTCACTAGTCCTGCCCTGACAACTTGCTGTTAATCATGTAGCAACGTAATGGATAGAGGGCAAGGAGAAGAATGAAAAGAGAAAAAAAAAAAAAAGAAGAGAAGGAAAAAAAAATTGAGAGATTGATCAGTAGTTGAAAAGAATGAATGAATAACATAAAAAGACTACACAGAAGCAAAACGAAAGTGCATACAAGAGCAACATGTCTAGCTGGAACACCATCAGCATCAGGGCTGCTTCTCAAGCTTCTCCAAGGACATGCCCTTTCAAACCACCAAAGTGAAACATTCATACATGCAATCAACAAAAGAGTATTAAAGCAAGAGGAAGGACAGAATAAAAAGGCAGGCAATTCAGTGGAAGAAAAGATGGCAATGGCCTATTCTTTTAAGTTTAGGGAATGGAAATATTACATTAGTCAGCTCCCCATCAACAACTGCAACAAGTGCATTAGACAGACACATGCATCTTGCCATTACATAACTATCGCATTGTAACTAAATATATAATTAAAAAATAATTTTTGTGACAGAAATTAACAACTTCGTATTTAAGTGCTGCAAAGCTTTGCTTTTTCTATACTTCATATGAGAAAATAAAAGGCTTTCATTTTTCCCTTTAAAGACAAAGCAAGCTGTTGAAAGTTTTCCCACTATTAATCCAGTGTTTGTGTAAAGGGGAGAAACATTCATAGAACAATTTCAGCAAAGAAGTAACAGAGGAGGTAGCTCTGCTACAAAAGATACCCTCAACCAGTTTAATAACTTTTTCTTAAATACTTAATTTTTACACAACATATTTTCAAGGTTAAAATGAATGGATAAATAAATAAATACTATTATTTTAAAGGAAACAACATACAAAGTGGATTATATGAATATATAAACACTATATATTAAAGATTACCTCTGTAAATGAAACCTATATATCAAACAAGCACCAATAACTGAATTGGCTGGTAAGGGATCTGAATTTATTAGCTGCTGATGTACTCTTCTTGAGTTTAATTGATCACATTCATATTATCTTATCTAGCGGACAACAGTCATGATTTACTGGACTCCTGGCCTGATGTTATCAAGGGAAAGGTTGCCAAATCCTATGTAAGGCGCTAGTAGGAGTTTCAGCATTAAACAGTGTTATCTGACCTCACAGGACCTAGTTTCTTCATACCAATCTTTTGACTAGAGCTGGAGGTGGGAGGGGGTGGCGAGGGAAGGAAAAAGTCTTGCAATCAGTAGGCAATTAATTGTTCCTCGAAACATTGCTCTAAATCCCATCCTGTAAACACAGGCAGGTTAGTGACCCATGCTTAGGCACGCTGTAGCAAGAAACTGACTATCATAAATGACTTGGATTTTCAAAAGGAATTTCATCTAAATAAGAGTAAAAATATACAACTGCAACATTTCTTTTATTAACTTCATGGTAATTAAAAACTTGAGCTTCTTTGTATCAGTTTCTGACACAAAGTTTCTGTGTCAGGCATATCATTGTCATGGTTCAAACCATGTCAATAATAAGAGATAACTTTTCTTGGTGTAGATGCTCCGAATTCCAGATCTGACTTATCTGCCAAAGGTTTTATTGTACAAAGCTGGCGCACACACCCTCTTTTGCTGAACTGGCATTTAGTTAAAGAGAAAACTACACATCACTTACAAAAATGCTAGCTCTTGCCAATGCCAAGGAACAAAGCCGTACCCCATGCGGTTTTTACACTACGGTTGAATGTAAAAAATATAGGAAGAAAAACATTTGATTAATAAAGGAGCTATTTCCTCAAATTTCATCAGACCCTTGCGATTTCGAGGACTGAAAATAAGTCAGGATCTCCAATTTTCTTACTTTGGAACTGTTTCACTTCAAAAACATGCTCTACTTTCCAGTCACGCATAAAGAGCAATCTAGTTCTTTGTCTCACCACAGTTTTAACCAAATAAAGGTTTGATTAACATTCATCCCAGCACGTTAACAGACAAGGCTTAGTAGCTCTAGCTGAGATAGTTTGAAAACTTACCACCCCCAAATGTCTGTCCTATTCCTCTGCTGGAGACGACTGCTGCCAGAGGAGAGCTGGTGGAATGTAACGTGTACTTGCACCTCATCCGCTTCAGCACAAAGTCTGGCAGCTTCACTTAAAAACAACTTTCAGCAGCAGTTTAAGCTAAGCTGCTCGACTTCACCCTGATGTGGCCAAGGCACACCATCACCTTCCATTTTCTGATTCTGCTGGGGGAGTGATAAATTCCAGCAAAAGGGCAGTAACAAATAGCTTGGGTTGCATTAATATTTTAAACTGCTGCAGCTGTTTTCTAAAGCCATGCATGGTAAGTAATTAACTTTCTAAGGCTCGTTCTTGCACAGTTACTTAACAGAAATTTTACTCTTAATTTGAAGCGGACTAAGAACTCCATCCACTTCTCACAGGGTTCTGAGTTCTGCCAGTCATCAAAGCTCAAAAGTCGTGCCCACAAATTCATACAAGTTAAAATAATGCATTTGGGATTCCTGATACTTATTTTTAACCACCTGTGAGTCACTTCTAAGATCTTCCTAGTGACTGTGACAATTATAATTGATTTTAAACACAAGAAATATGATCTTCTGGCATAAAATCAACAATGCGAGAAATAATTTTTAAAGTGTATTTTCAATATCAAGCAATCAGTAATAAGAAACACATAATAAAACATAATTCACCTATAACATTTCACTCTTGGCATTTTACACAAACTCAGTATTTCATCTTTCACCCTGCTACCACCTAGACTGACTGAAGTTCTCTGATGTTCTCTGACAAACATATTCAAGCAACAACCTCCTAAATTTTCAAAATGAGGAAACCTCACATTACACAAAATATGGAAAATACAAAGATATAATCCAGTGTGTAAATAGTGCACATTTATAAAAACTAAAATCTATTTTACTCTTGGTTTAAAAATCAAACCTAAGTCAACACTTGCATACTTACTGATGTAAGGATGAGTAACACTATTGTACTTCTTTTATTTGTTTCTTTATAGCATTTATCTAGTATCTATCTATCTACTTTTATAGTCCAATGGCTACAAATTTTAAGGAACATATTAATATAACTGTGCCACAATTTAAGGAAGCACTGTGCCCATTTTAGAGATGGGGGAAAAGAAATGAAACAACCAACCAAAAAAAAATAACAACCCTCACCACCACCACCCCCTCTCTAAGGAACCTATACCTGCTGTACAAAAAGTTTGTGCTAAACCAGAAAGCTAGTAATGGCAACATCATCTTTCCAGCCAACAGACCAGCTCCATGCTTTTGGGAAACAGCATCAACACATTACTTCAATTAGTCTTTTCCACTGCAGACTAATAAATTTTCTCTTAAGAAAAGTCCTATTCATCTCCCTGAGGATATGAAGGTGAAAGTTTTCCTTCTCCAATTTTATGTAGAGACTTTACCCTTCCTATCTTAAGAAGTGACCAAGGTATTTGGTTCCATACAACAATAAACCTTAAGATACAGCTACCAGACAGACACTCCAATACAATTCCCATTGGTTTCTCACTGACTTAAATTCAGGCAATTCCTCTGGCCTGCTCAAAATAGCACTCTGAAAGGAAGCAAATGTTTCACTGGTAACAAAGAACTATTGCTTGCTCAGAATAGACTGAAATGACACTTGATTAGCACAACCTTGCAAAGGCAGGCAGCTGCTTTCCAGCTCTCACTCTTCAGCTCCATACACAGCGTGGCAGCACCAGGGACTTCTGCTCTGCCTCGATAGTGACAAGGAAGTCACTTCTCTGTCCATTTACTGGCTTTATTTCTACTTTTGTTGTTGGGTTTTTTGTTGTTGTCCTTGGTTTTTCAGAGACCTTTTAACATTATTTTTTTTACCATTATAGCTTGGATTCACATTACCAGTAATGTGTGAGTTACTGTGAGTATTGAATTTATGCATGGTAACTATTCATAGGCTATTGCTAATGCAATTTGCATAATATCAAATTTTTCTGATCTACATATTATATAGCTTGGATTCACATTACCAGTAATGTGAGTATTGAATTTATGCATCGTAACTATTTATAGGTTATTGTTAATGCAGTTTGCATAATATCAAATTTGTCTGATCTACATATTGCATATTCCATTGATCTGCTCAACAAAATTAAAAATTGTAATTATAATACTAAGGAAGAAGACTGCTTAAAGTGGGTACCGATTTAATATAGAAAGTTATGTCCTCGAGACAGAGCTACATAGAGGTTCCTAATTTTAAAACAACCTAAGATTCCATTGATCTGCTCAACAAAATTAAAAACTGTAATTATAATACTAAGGTAGGAAGAAACCTGCTTGAAGTGGGTACCAATTTGATATAGAAAGTTATGTACTCGAGACAGGGCTATATAGAGGTTTCTAATTTAAAAACAACCTAAAAATAGACACTTTCTTTGGAAAGATACAATTTTCTGTATAACCACACTTCTCATATTCTGGTTTTAATTTAAGGCATTTGCATATCTATTTACAAGCTTACACCTGAGTAACCAGAACACACCACCACACAGGACAGAGAGGTCTAAGGCTGATGTTCCAGTGCTAGCTACAATCCAAGAAAAATTAAAGAACTCTTTACATGCTGAATTATTTATATGCAAATAATCATTGAGCTCAGAACAATGGACGGATGGTGCCTTAGTAGTAAAAGATCACTGAAAAGACATGGTTTTAATTTAAGGCATTTGCATATCTATCTACAAGCTTACACCTGAACACACCACCACACAGGACAGAGAGGTCTAAGGCTGATGTTCCAGTGCTAGCTACAATCCAAGAAAAATTAAAGAACTCTTTACATGCTGAATTATTTATATGCAAATAATCATTGAGCTCAGAACAATGGACGGATGGTGCCTTAGTAGTAAAAGATCACTGAAAAGACAGGATATTTCTCTACCTATAAATGACAGCTTTTCAAATTTCCTTAGCTTTGCTTGTTAGGTATGCACTACAAGTATCAGGATATTTCTCTACCTATAAATGACAGCTCTTCAAATTTCCTTGGCTTTGCTTGTTAGGTATGCACTACATTTTACCATTTTACTGTTTGCAATACAGTTTTCTAGTTAACCACTTCAACACAGATTGTAAACACTGCTGTGGCAAAACACTTGCAGAAATTACATGTTTATTGTATTTTCAAAAAGCAGGAGACCAAGCTGTACATAAGAAATGTTTTGCCTTTCTTTTAAACAAACTTGTTGACTTATTTTGTGGTACTGGTTTAACGTTGGTAATAACTAGCAGTTCCAGGATATTACACAGTGAGAACAGCTACCTTTTGGTTCACTAAGAAAACTTAAAATAAGCATATTGTAATCTCAAACATCATTATACAGGAAGGGTTGCCGCAGTAGTACAATCCTTCTTTTTGAGATTTCTGAAACTGGATTTGTAGAAAATCTTTTTGGTTTAAACCTATGCACACAGTCTTCCTGGCAGAAAAATTATTTTTAGAAGCAGAAACTAGGAAGAAGAGGGTGGTAAGGGAAAAGGGTTTACATTAGAAAACCTCTTGTTCGATTGCTTATTTAAACAATTAAACCATTTTTGATCTCCTATCACACTGATAAGATCTAAGTGACTTCCAACTCTGGTTGATACAGTTAAGCAAGTACTCGCATTTTAATTAATATATAGTTATAGTTCAAATTTTTTAATAAAAGTGAAAATATCTTTTCCTCACTAATTCATAAGGCCATAAAACAATGTTCTCATTAGAGTTATTTTGCATACATCAATTACTGAACCACACGAACTGCAACAAGGCTCTGCTACAGTTCAGAGCAAGACAGGGAGCAGGGTTTCACCATGCACTCACGGTGAAATCACTATATTCACACCCCTAACTCACTGTTAGCCTGTACAACAGAGTGGTGGACAAACCTTCTTGATGACCTTCCCACCTGATTGTTGGGAAACATTCTCCTCTCTCAGCCCTTTCTTACTGCAGAGGAAATGGCACAAAATCCCCCAAGGTAACACTCATAAGACAAAGAACAAATGACAAAATGCAACAGCAGAAACCATACAGCTTCTTTAGGGATTATTTGGGACTGGTACAGTGAGAAAATTAATTGTAGATGCCAGGGAGCCATAATAGCAACCCATACACATGATTCCATGGGTCAGCCCACTGTTGAGAATGGCTATGCCAAACCAGAATAGGATTTGTTTCTCATCTGCACATCAGAATAAATTGGGAAATAGTGACTACAAAGTCAATATTCCTTCTCCGAGGCAGACAATCAGTATTGAAGAAAGTGTTCTTGTCCTGTATTATACAGGCACAGAACGAAAACTAAAATCTGATATTAACCAAACGCAGGATTTGACACAGTTAATTCCTGACTCTGTCACTGAAAAATATTTTTTTCCTGTGTTTCTAAGATGAAGATTGATTTAGAACATTTTCACTCATAGAAGCTTGTCTTTATGTAGTGTTCTAAAACAAAATTTGTTTTTAAATATGTAAAGAATTAGAAAAGAACAATTATCATAGAAAGTGTATCTGACATCAATGTACAGTAATTAATGTATATACCACAATGTCTCCCATGATACCTGTATATGAACATGTACAATGATACTTTTAACTTCTAAAACAATTTGAAATACTATTTTTAAACAAACAGCTCTCACACTAAAGTTTTTTCTTAAGTTTTCTTTTTTCAGCAAGTTTATCATGATGAAAAATAAAGAATTTTTATTCTTTATTAAGGAAAATATACTATATTTTTTAAAAGCTGTTGTGAAAGTCAATAATTGTCTTCAGAACAACAGCTACAGCTTGCTTTAATGGACAGTTACTAATTTGCAATGAGATTATTTTATTAACACTAAATAAAATACTATGGAAAAATATGTATTTGTGGAAAATCACCTGTGATTGTTCCAATTCTGCTTTGTTTAATTTGATGCCAAGTATGTCAGCAGCAATTCTCTGAAAACACAGGAAGACCTATGGAAAAAAAAATTAAATTGCATTTAAATGATTAAAAACAGACATCCTTGAGGTTCTTTCAAATATATCAAACCATTCTTGAACTGTAAACAGTGAGATATACAAAATTATGACCTGTGCAAAACAGATCTGAAAATAACCTCATCTGGTACATTCAATTTTGTTTAAAAATTGGAGAAAATAACTCAACAATGGTACAAGGAATGAACAGTATGCTGGATTGTTAAGCAACACTTCTAGTCTGCCTCCAGAGACCTAAGTTTAAACAAGCTTTTACACAACCCACCTCTCAAATACTACTCTCAGTGCTATAAAATATGAATAAGGGTATTCACTAATGTTTAGTATAAAATATATTGCCAGGGTATTGTGCAACAGCGATGTAAGTTACTGAGAACAACAGAACTGTGCATCAACATCACCCAAAATCTCTACTCCACACATTTGAAAAACATTAGCAATATGAAAGCCAAGCAATTATATATTTGTTCTGAAGAGTCTTCCAAAACATTGTGTTATACTGAGCAAAAGTCATCTAGGAAACAAGGACGATGCTGTAGGGCACACAGTAGCCCAACAGAGTTAGACTTCGGACATGGTTTGACACATAACACAGAGTGGGAATGCTATCTTAAATAACTCCTTTACTTCCTCTCAATCCAGTCCACCAACCTTCCTGTTTGGGCAGCTGCATTGTAAATGAGATTAAAGAACACAACAGATGGTAAAGAGGAGCAGCTCAAGCTCGCACTGGTGCTGAACACTGTGTTGCCAAGCTACATATTATATTTTATCTACATGGTTATTCAACTGAGCTCATAACCTGAACTACTAACAAACATTCCTTTTCATCATGAAGCTGCCACCCCCAAAAGGTAAGGCTTCTGTAAGTGCTTTTAGTCATTTGCAATGAAAATTCAAAAAGATACCATTTACAAATTTTTTTCTTACATCTGACATGGAAACCAGTCATGAATTAGTGGCACAACCAATCAGCCACAGTAGCTTCCAAAAGAATTTCTCTTTCTCTAATTCCTTGGTCTAGGAGTGGTCAATTCTCATAGCATCCACACAGCAAGAAAGGAAACCCTGACCAGGCTTATCTTTTTCCAAGACCTGCTTTAAGCCACACCAGGCTCTCAGCTGCACTGAGCTACCTCAGAAAACATCAGGCACGAGTTCAGTGCTTAAGTTATGCAATTTGATAGACAGTAAGACATTTCGCTGCACTAACCCTTTCATGAAAAGTTTTTCTCCCCTGAGGAGACTTTCAGGCTTTTCTGTGTACATAAAATTATCTTTTGCATACGAGTCTGTTGGAGGAATCTGAGGTAAACAAAACAAATCACTTCGTTTATCTTAAGTGAGTATTTAAGACTCCTCTAGTCTATATCCACAGTAGCAATGGATGGCCTCTTCTTAAATCACTGTCTAGGGTAAACACCCTGTCTTTCCTGCACAACTACCCAAATACATGAAGAATTTAAAAGGTCAGTGTGCAGTAACACTGAAAGAGGTAATTCAAATCTATATTGAAACTAAAAATTAATTACTGTGAACTACACCTCATACCTTCTTTTGTTAGTAGATATTTAAACAGAGATTTCAGGTTAATGCTTTCTAGGCATATTCAGATTTACTTTTGTTTTTAAACAGTAAATTTAAAAAAAGCACAATCAGTATATATACTGGGATGCTGCTGTAATTCATGAATCATTTAAAAATATTCCTTCATAATTTGCAATGCTAAATATATCAACCTTATAAAAAGAACAAGAGGTTGTCTCCTTGAGAAAGGAATATGTTTTCTCAAAACCACACTTCATTGACTGAAGCATTATAAAATTTTTCTTGTTTCTAGCAAAAGAGCTTGAATTTTCACACTTAAAACAAAAATTTATGCCAAAAGTTTAACACAAACTATAAGGAGAATCAGAATTCACTGCATTTGTAACTGCAGTATTGTTAGATTTTAAAGAATAACTATTTTCTTATAAAATTAGGCAGCCCAATGTAGAAGTTTCATCAAAGATCTTAAAACAAGTGATTCCATTTGTGTTACAGAATTATACTTCCATATAATTGAACATGGTCTTAACATTCAATAATATAAAAATAAACCATGCTGTCATAAACAGGAGACAGATACAGGCCTGTTTTATGGGAATGACAAAGTCTTTAGGCATGTGACAGAAATGAAGCAAAGTAATACAGTGTGATTTAATTTGACTGATACAGTCAACTGAAAAAGAACCTTTTCTTCCATAAGCTTCCAACTAAAACAAATAACCCAGTTAGCTCAGAGTCAAAAGATTGTTCAAAAATGTGCTCTGCAAAGCATTACAAACTCCAGAATGTTCACATTTCAATGGACCTGCAGAGAGAGTGTCTCTCATGGCTCAGGACCCATATTAAACACTTTGATCATAACAGGGTTTTGTGACATTATCAACTGTTGGAAGTTGCTATATTGATGGTCCATAGATGGGACTCCACATGGACTGAAGGAATACATTAACTACTGGCTGACAGACATCCAGCTGGGCTCAGTTCTCACGCTAATGAATAAGCTAGACCATTTCCGTATTAAAATCTATACCTCAAACTGCAAATCAGATGAGAAGCCGCTGTTAATTAATAAAGAATATATACACTTACAAAAAGATCTATTTTTCATGCAAGGAGGTAGGCAAAAAGGGCCTGCAGCAAAGTTCTCAGTTTGGTAAGTGAAGTATAATAAAGCTGTTACATCATATCACAGAATAATGGTTTTCTTAAAATAAAAAACAAAGCATCTACAAGGATTTTGTTCTTCTCACTTACAGAATCTCCTGTCTTGGCTGACACAAAATGGCTACTGAAATTGTTTTCCTGACAAAATCGTTGGTGCTTGTCAACTTTCACTGTGCGCATATGCTCCAAGTCAACTAAAAATAAGTTGAAAAAAGGAAAAATTAGTACAATGAAGTCCATTTAGTTACCTGTCTTAGAAATTATTCATTGGAAACACATCAGATGTAATCTTTGGCTTTACAGATATATGCAGATACAAGTTTCTTTCTTTTTATAATAATTTGTCAAAATAAAAATAACTAATTACCTCAGATTAATTTTATTTGCAAACTAAAATGAAACCACAATTAAAATTATATGGTCAAATGCAACACATTCATATCTGAAATAAAGGAGAAATTCATTTCTGGATACACACAAGAAATTTCTAACAACTTTACTGCTAACGACATGCAAAAAGCTGAGACAGAACTGAATTTTCTGCATCCTGTTTGCAAGCGTGGTGCATATTGGACATTCCAGTGTAACCTAAAGACTTTTACAAAATAGAGTTCACCAAGCACATATCTGAATCTACATATTTTTTTCCAAGTAAAAAATGTAAATGAGTTATAAAGAACTTTTATTGCAGAACATGGTAGAGAGAAACATTCACTATAATTAAAAAAAAGAACTGAGTAAAAACACTGATGGTTATTTACTTGTATATGAAGTTTTTGATTCCACAAAGGTATGGTTCAGAAAATTAAAAACAGTAAAATGCATATTTCATGAGTCACAGGCATTTTCATTTTTATCATTTTACAACCACTGGAAGCAGAGCAAAGCTTTCAAATGGTATTTTATGTTGAAAAGCACTAGTTGCTTCCAAAACAACATGGAACTCAAGTCTTGCACAGGTTTTATTGTGTACATTCCAGTTTCTCCAAATCTGATCCTAAGGTAACTGGAAACTATATTGAACAGTTTCTCTTTTTATTGCATTACAGTTCCTATAAGGGTGTTGACTCAATGCCGTCAAATTATAAGGCAAATATATTCAGAAGGATTTAAGGACAACCAGGCTCTTTGAGTCAATACAGGAAAAAAAAACTTAAACTGATTTCCTGAGGAAGGGACCCAACTGACTTGTAAAAACCTGTAAATTTGCAAATCTAGTAAGCCTGCATAATAGTGTCATTTGATTATCAGCTGAAAAAATGCTCTCCTACTACATAAAAGGCTTTATTTTAAAATGATATTGGAGGTCTTTAATTTGTAGGCTCTGGAGACTTTCTCTTGGAGATTTTTAGTCTAACAGGGGATTCCTACACCCCATTTATACTGCTTACCTTGGTTAATGTGGAGTTTTTGCCACATATTACTGTTCCTTGTACATCAGTAAGGCCTTGTTTATAAGAACAGGCCTAAAATCATCCAGTTACCACAGGCATTAATTTGTGAAGGACTAAAATACTAAGCTGTTAACACTAATGTTTGTAGTACAGTTTTCCATAATACTAAATGTAGAATATACATAGTTCCACAAAGAATAGGAACGACAAATACATTTACTAAGATAAAACCTAAAAGTCAATAACAATTTTGTCAAGAAATCATGCAGTCTACATAACAGCTACTTAACTTTTTTACCCTGAAAAATAACTACCAGAAGAGAGCCTCTGTTGAAATGCTTTTAAGAATAAAATACAGCACGCTGCCTAAACCATATAATTATTAACTATTATTCTTACTCTTACATATTAGCTTTAAGTGCAGCCTGGAAAACACAACAGTGAGATTACTCTTTGGGGAAATATAAATACATATTTTTTTTATTTTTATTTGATGAGCTCTTAAAGGAACCTTAACCCCACCTCCAAATTTCACTCACTGTATTTCTTTGACTATACCCGAACTCCAAAAACCTAGACACAGTTGCAATAAAAAAAAAATAGGTAGGTAGATAGAGATAGATAGAGCACTGTACACCTCTGAAATACCATGACATGCTTATGTAAGTCAATAAAGACAAGCTCACAAATTACAATCTCTCTCAAATTCCCTTTCCCAGGAAGGAAAGAATAGAGAATGGAAGAACACAGCAGCGTGATAAAAAATTGAGCAATTTTCTGGAAGAAAAAGCCACTGCCATATTGGAAATTATAATGTCAAATGCTTCCTATTTTCTACTTGAAGAAAAATCGAGAATAATCTATGGTCAGGGGAGCATATACTCTACTACAGTAGAGAAATTAAAAGCACCCAAGACCCTAGAATTTAAAAGACCGGAAGTGAAAATCAAGGTGAAATTAAGTTTCTGAATTTTGTGTAACTCTTAGATCCTCTCCCCTCTTACAAGTATTTCAGCTTGTCTCCTGAATGAGAGGCAGTCTGCCGTGGACTGTACGGTTCCTGTTATGCCAGATAACTGCCAGGTAACTGTCCGTGTGCACACTCTCTGCCCAGAGTAAATGCAAGGCAATTCATGTTACGTTAGCTCTCAATGAAAGAGGGCACAGTTTTAGTACGAGAAAAGGTTTTCAAGCGTTAATAAATATTTAACTATAAAAAGTTGCAGTTTGCAGTCAATGAAAGACGACTATGGTAACTCACATTACTTTGCATTGCCAGAGGCCAAGGGCACAACCATAGGCAGTTGCTGAAGATCAGCTAAAATACAGCAAAGAGTTACCCTCCAGTCCTTTTTTTTTTTTTTTTTAACATCTGACATTGGTCAGCTCAACAGGGAGAATTCTTAGCACACCAGGAGATAAGTCTTGTCCAGCTTTTATTTAGACATCACAGTAAAAAGACTTTAAGGAGGGATTCGGAGGAGAAAAATGATTTTCTAAAAAGATGTTTATAAGGAATGTAGGGACTTTATAGAAGGAAAACTAAGAGCTGGCCAATGTGAGCTTGTCTGATGAGCCAATTAACAGCAGGAATAGATATCTTGGGATGAAGGATGATACTAGAAAGCACTTAAGGCATGATAAGTTTAAAGGCAAAGAGAAATAAGTTTTGGATAGCAAGAAAGGGAATCAGATACATAAATACAGTTTGATTGTACAAAGCAGGAAAATGATCTTGCAGAAAATTCTAAATGACTAGATAATATTGCATTGGCCAAGAAAAAGGAATTGCTGAAATTAAAATGCAAAATAAGGACATTTGTTATAAGGTTAAAATAGGCCATATCTAACAAAGATCTCAAAGAAAGAATCTGCAAGGTTTGGACACACATCAAACACAAACATTTAGGGAAAGGCCCAAAGCGAAGTTTATGTGCCAGATGGTACAGTCATCCTCCTCATTTGAAGTGAACACAAAGACAGGGGAAAATTAACAGGTCCATTTTCACCAAGCAGAATTTAAATTGATGGCTAGATATTCACAATGGGACGTCTAAAAGAGACACAAGGATTTAGTTTAAAAAGTCAAAAGAGATTTAACTATTTGCAAACAGTGAATCTCTAGAGCACACAAATGTTGCAAACCAGTACTTTGGATTAAGTGCTTGGATACAAACTCTGTTGTCTACATTAATAAATTATGTCTTCTGATCACGAAGTGCTTGGATACAAACTCTGTTGTCTACAATTAATAAATGTCTACATTAACAAAAAGTTAAATAAACCCCAAGAGAAGTAAGTTTTACAGAATGCAGTTAAAGCATTTCTTTGCTCTATCATTTCTAAAATTCTAAAGGTCTTAAAAATTGGACCAACAGGAATGGCAGTTAAAGTTAGCAAACCAACAGTTAAAATGTCAAAGGAGTCAAAATTTCAAAGAACATTGCAAATTTCTTGACTACACAGGAGCCACTTAGTATATATGCATTAAATTGAACACTTAAATGAAAACTGAAATCAGGATAAAACAAACCAGGAGAAGCAGAGGGACGTCAAAGCAATAGGGGAGAGAGAGAGGTCATAGTATGGTTTCTCGGATTGGTTTGATGAGGAAAGAAGAAGTGGCTCATCAGCCCCAAAGTAATTTTGAAGTTGCTTTCTAAGAAAAAAGCATCCTCAACATGGGCTGCTCCCGTTTGCTCATTTTTATGCCCGAAATGCACACTAAAAAGCTTATGTGACAACTACAAAAAAAACCATGGTTGCCAGATATCTTCCCAAAATTATCTTTGTTGTCTTAGCTGTCCTCTTCAACTCTGTTTCTAACTAACTAGTCAAGAGCTCAACGTTTTGTTTCTCTGGAATCAACCTTTATGCTTGTCTGGTGTGAAGAGACATTTCAATTAAAGCTAGCAAGATAAATTGCTGTTCCATAACTAACAGATCTATATGCTTTTGTATGTACAAGTATCCCACAAAGATACTGGCACAACAAAAATTTATTAGGACTTCAGGAATTCAGACATGACTTCCACCAAGCCAGACAAATCCAAGTGAAAAATCTCACCTCGTAGATGAAACCAGCACACATAGATCAGTGTCTGCTGTAGCAGAAGCAGGTAAGGCTTGCTAAAAGACTTGTTTCTCATGAACTCCAGAGAGTTCAATTTTGATTTGTAGGTGAGACTAAACAGAGATCTAACAAGGTGAAAAAAGAAAATGGAATCTAAGAGACAAGTATGAAACTCCCACAGAAATCCCAAAGATACTCCCTCTAAGGCATTCCTGAAGATGAGAGAAAAAAACAGGTAAGAAGAAAACTGCAGAATCTATGAAAGGAAAAAGATGTAAACACCACCATGTGGTGAACCTCTGTGGAGAGCAAGTGACATTTCAAAGACAAGCTCTGGAAGTGGGCCTGTGTGAACCTCATGAAGTACAAGAAGGCCAAAGGCAGGGTTGTGTGAACCTCATGAAGTACAAGAAGGCCAAGGGCAGGGTTCTGCACCTGGGTTGGGGCAATCCCTGGTATCAATAGAGGCTGGGGGATGAAAGGTTTGAGAGCCCTGCCAAGAAGGACTTGGGGGTACTGGTAGATGAAAAGCTGGACATGACCTGGCGATGTGGGCTGACAGCCCAGAAAGCCCATTGTATTCTGGGCTGCATCAAAAGCAGTGTGGCCAGCAGGTCAAGGGAGATGGTTCTGCCCCTCTACTCTGCTCTTGTGAGACCCTGCCTGGAGTACTGCATCCAGCTCTGGAATCTTCAACATAAGAAGGACAAGGACCTGTTGAGGTGGT